TTCATTCCCTACACTTATTTCCCTCTGAAAACCATTTAAAACTGCCAAACAATGCACCATCTTGTTAACAAAACCAAGCTCAGGCCTATCGCAAGCTGATAAAATCGTGGTCAAAGTTGCTTGATCTAGCCTATAAAAACCCAAACTTAGCATCTGTTTAAAGAACCCAAAGCCTACATCAAAACTCCCATCTTTTAAAAACCCAGAAATCATTATATTCCAAGACACAGTATCTCTCCTGGGCATTTCATCAAACAACTTAGCAGCATCAATTAAGACCCCATTTTTTGCGTACATAAAAAGGAGAGAATTCCAAATGACAAAGGCATTTTGTTCTAGGGGATTAAAGAATTCGTGGGTTTTGATTATAGAGGCATGGAGAGAAGAACCTAAATGAAGGTAACCTTCTCTTCCACAAATGGACAAGAGGTGGCCTATATCTACATGGTTGAGAAGAAAAGATGAAGTCTTTGAAGATGGGGTGTGATAGGTTTTTGCTTTGAGTGGAGATGTCAAGGAGGTCGCCCATGAGGGAATATGGGAATTCAGTTTGTGGATTACCCATTTGGATTTCATCCATGAAAACTGGAAGCTTGTAGACTACCAAGTGTGCATTTGACTAGAGGGAAGCAGGGGTGTTTGAATTTTGACAAACCTCATTTTTCCCAATCTATCAATTCTAAATTATGCTAAACTAGATATGTTTTCAATCAAGTCCCTTAAGGATCAAACATTTATCAATCGAGTCCTTCTATCCATGTATGTTAACATTTTACGTTATTTTATGCAATAAAATTAAATGGCATATTTTTAAGAGGATTTGACATTTTATATCAGGAAGTGTGATGAATTCAGACATTGTTTCTGAATTTTAGTTCTCATCCAATAAACATTGTTTCTTTTGTTTTCAAATGAGAAATGAAGAGTTCATCGCCTTGGCTTTTAAGCTTAATTTATTTTCAGGTTCCAACTTCTTAACTGCCAGAAGGGCCTTTCGGAGGGCAGACTAGTCGTTGATGACATGCAGACATGACAAAGGTCAGCTCAGCCTAGCATTCCTGTTACAAGTGCAAGCTGATGCTTGTAAATGTCTGTTCAACCAAAAACATGAAAAGGCAAAGGCTTCGTTGTCTTTGACTTCTTTCCTCTCCATATCAAGAAATGAATCGAAAGTATATGAAAAGGCACAGAAAACCACATCAAATGCTGAATGCAGTTCTTTGATACAGTCATTTACAATTGGAAATCAAAATACGTACTGCTATTACGATATATAACCTCAAACAATAGGAAATACAGAAAATGAATCTGAAAGCTCTCTGGCACCCCTCTTTATCTTCAATGTCAACTTATACAAGCTGTGCTGTGCAGGAAATGAGACAACTTTGAGTCCAGAAGTTGAATCTTTTTATTTATTTATTTGATTGATCTGAAAGACCACTAACAATCAAATGGAGAGGAAGTAATCTTACTGAGCTCAATAAACTTTGTGTCCACTGTGGTAATTCCAGCCATGGAGTCTTATCCGTGGGGTAACACCTGGAGGAACTTCAAAAGATATCTTGATGGGCATCACCTCTCCGGGTACAAGTGAAAAGTAATTGTCCGAGTAATGGACTGGGAGAATTCTTGTATCTTCTCCTTCCTTGTGGCCTGGTTTCGAAGCATGAACAGAGAAATATAGGAAAAAAGCAACTCCTTCATCAGAGCCGTTAATTTCAGAAACCTGCAAATCATCAGTTTCCCCTGAAAAACGTCTGTAGATCCTCTGGAATAAACTAGCCTCCTGTTTTTCCTCAGCTGCACTATTTACAGGCTCCACTGAGGCCATGTCAAAATCACCATCACCAATTCTAGTAACAAAATTATTCTTGTAGGTTAAACTTTTTAATTCTGGCCTTTTGGACTTGTTTTCGACGTGCATTTCCATTTCATAAGTGGACCCTTTGATAAAAGTGGTTGATCTAATCTTAAGGGGAACTCTCTTCTTCCTGTATGGCTCCAACAGCTTGTAGTCTCCACCAGGCAGATGCAACCAGTAAAAATTCCTAGATATAACCCCATAATCTGACATCTTGTAGAGTTTGAGAAGAAGAAAGTACACTGGCTTTGGGTTTTTTGATTTTGGATATTTCATCTCAAGTATGGGTACTGTTTTCTTTGAAGGAACAGAGAGCTTTTCATGCACTACATAATATGGGCATGTTCCTTCGAGATCCCATACCGATGCTTCTATGGCAACATCAGATAGTTGCTCTGACAGAGTATTAACAACCTGTTTATGGCAAGAGAAACTAGAAAAGTCAGGGTAAGTATTCTGGAAGCAAGGAATGGATTATGCCATGTGTAGCACTGTAAGAGAAAACTACGCAGTTGGAAATTGCAATTAGATATGTGCCCTAAAGACGTGGAAACAATACAGTTCTAGTATGGTCATTTACCTCAATAAAATACGTAGCCAAATTTAGCTGGACATGGACTGGCTCTGCAGCACTGCGACAGCCATAAAAACCTGCTGTTTGGTCATGGAGATGGTCATAAAACTGACCTCTAAGACCTGTCCAAGGATTCTGAGTCTTCCAAATCAAAACACCAGTGTATTTGCTCCACATACGGGACGTCCAGCCTTCCAATAGAGCTCTATACTGAATGTAGTTTACAAGCTGAGCCTGAGATGATGGCTTAAACAGGTCAGAACAACAACAACAATGTCTTAATCATACACCAAATTTGTCTCAATAAAAAGTTTAAATCCTTTGGAGCCACTTCCATTCATGGTAGTTTAAGTCCTTTGTTTAAACAAGTGGATAGAGGCTTGAAAAAGATCTAAGCAATTGTAAGTAAATACCTTCAAGCAAAAATCATTAAGATCTGTTGGAGTCCCATATAGAAGAATCTGATTGTGAACCTTGCCTGGTTTTGAATAAGGAATGTATTTGTGGTATTCCCATATGGGGTTTGGCACTTCTTCTACATAACCATCTGGAAGCTTCTTAAACAATGGAATTTTCCATCCTTCTGGAGGCATTGTAGCTTTGATGGTAGCAGCAATTGGCACTCCAACAGAACCAACCTCAGGATTGAATCCATAGTTGTAAAAATCATCCTTGAAGAAACTTTCAGGGTATTGTATTTCGTAAGGACCATCAGTGAAGTCCCCCTTTCCATTTGCAAAGCCATCCCACATTGATCCTTGGATATAAATGCGTGTACCATCAAGATAATTACTAGGATCTTTCATGCTTGCAGACAGTTCTTGCAGAGACTTGCCAGTGTTATGGAGACTCTCAAAATGAGGATGGAGCTTCAGCTCATCCTTTAAAGCATTGTTGATGTCAGGTGGTGGAACTTGTTCATTTCCACCCACCCAAAGAGCAAGACTAGGATGATTTCGTAGAAGCTTGACAGTGTCTCTTGCACATAGCATAAAAAGGTCATGGTCAAGTGGACCATTTGGATTTGAAACAGGGACACCTCTGCCATCAACATCTCCAGTTATCCAAAATTCTTGCCACACCTGCAAAAATTAATCCAGTATATGATTCACGGTTTAAAGACAGGGCTACATATCCCATTAACTTTTAATAGAGAAACACCAATCTAAGGTTGCACATTGGAATTTGAAGCAGGATAATAGGATTAGCAAAATGATCGTCCAGCTTTTAACTGAAAGTATACCCCCATGCAAGCTACAAAAATTAATGATTTAAAGCCCAGCATAATTTGATAAATTCGAAGTCAAAATTCACTCTTGCAGAGACATTTTCAAAACTTGATTACATTAAATCAGATAGAGAGAATTACCAGCAAACCATAGATGTCACAGTAATGATAGAACTCTGGCCTCTCAGTTAATCCACCACCCCAACAACGGATCATGTTAAAATTCATATCTGCATGAAACTTGATGTCTGTTTTGTAGCGTTTTTTAGAAAGCCTTAGCAACCCATCCGACAATATCCAATTACCACCGCGGATAAAAATAGGCTGCCCATTGACCTTGAACAACCTGTTCAGCCCATAAAATAAAAACATGGTTGTGGAACCTGAGGCCAGAACTTTTATAATCAATCTGTTACATAAAATTTATACATTAAATACCTTCCACCAGTTGCACTATCAATATAGCTCTCAATTTTACGGAATCCATGCATATGGCTCCATGAGTCAGACTCTCCATGTCCATTTACATCAACAGTAATAGTGACATTGTATAATGCTTGTTTTCCCATTCCATTTGGCCACCATAAGTTGGGCTTGTAGAAAAAAAGCTGCAACATCACACGGTTTAGCACTCAAAAAGAACTAATGGAAACCAAAATTATATGCATGCAATTAGTTGAAAGTTGAGAACAATGGACAGTCCCAAAGCATAGGTATTTGACATTATACACATCTGATTTTTATTAATTTTTTCATGGGTAAACAAAAAAGGGCACTCATTATGTTTCCGCATATTGGCCTCAGTAGTAAAGAACAAAAGGCTGCTAACTCTTCATGCATGTATATTCATTGCAAATGTAATGGAATTAAAAAAGGTGGTTAGTTTCCTCCACTTCATCCCTAATCGAGAATAAAATGCATCTTAGGAAGCCAGGAACTCCCACATTCTTACAGCAATATTCATTGTTCATCTTATTAAAAGCAGAACTCTGTTATGAACATGAAATTTGGGTCTCGAACAATCACATGATTTTAGCAGTAAAAGATGTTCAAATGGGAGGATGTATTCTCCAAGGCAGACATAAAAATAAAAGAACAAAGAAGGGGGAAATAGAGTGGGTACAAAAGTAATCATATAGCTAAAAGGATAGCAACAATGAACACTTTTAAGAAATGCATTAAGGAACCTCACAAGAAAATCAAGAGGATTATTCAAGTAAAAACATACTTGCACTAGGTTAGGATAATCAACAGGCTATGAGGATTGAATTGAACATGTTTGGGCGAGAACAAGTCGAAAATAATTTCTTGCCACAAGCTACTCAAAAAAAATCAAATAGATGAGTTCCCTTCAATAATCCCCAACTAGTCATGAAAACCATTATTATCCTTCAAAGTATTTATATAACTTAGAAATGCAACAAAAGGGCAGTCTGCTCAGAACAACAAAAACAAATAATGTAATTCACCTGAGGAAATGTATATTGAACACGTTTTCCAGAGGGGATAGACAGGCGTTGAGTCTGAAGATGTTCTACTATGCAAACACCTCCTTCAAGTTCCGATGTCACTTGGATGTTCAGATCACATTCAACAACCGAGGAACTTTTGTTTTCCAACTCTGTTGTAGTATGCAGATATACCCTCTTGTAACCATCAAAAAAGGTTGAAACCAAGTGGGGATCTATTATTTTCACTGGCTGCACCAAATTGGAATGTATGAATATATAAGAATCCAAGCCTTCACGCCTTATACTGATAAGCTTCTCAAATGATATGAATCTTCCAATGTTACGAGGACATAAATGAGCAGGTCATGGAAAGAAATGCAACATGGTATATTAGACTCACCCCAGTGATGGAAATCGATACCTCATCCCATATGCCAGTGTTCCTATCCCTGAAGTAATAGAAAGGCAGCATTAGTTTTCTCATTCACTGCTATAATATAGGTCTGTGATGTTTGCAGGAAAAAACTATAGCATGTGAAGAAAGAATCTGAGGCAAACCACAGTTTTGAAGAAAAAACATCATAAGCAGCACAAGTGCAACAGTAAATGTATTTTGCTATTCATCGTGATGTTTTAAAATAGAGCACCTTCTCTTTTCCCCATGCATAAGCTGCTACTCTATCCATATAATAACCCACAATCAAGAAAAAGGATTTGTGTGTGCAATTAAAAAGAATTACACTCTTCAATTCAAAAAATAACCTTATAGGAGCCATCCAATCCCAACCCTCAACATATTGCGTGGC